TACAGTGCACCGCTTGGGAGCGTGGTGGCGCTCCCGCCCGAGGGTTTGGATCCCACATACAGACCGATTCCCGCTCACTGGCTGAGCGAGGCGCGGGAGCAACACCGAGGGTTGCGATCCCGTTGCCGGTCCCCGGTCCGGTACGGGGGCGACACTGAGGGTTGCGATCTGTTGCCGGACACGGAAAAAAGACAAAAAGACAAAAAAAAAAAAAAAAGAATACATCTAAATGGACTGCTTGTGAAGCCACAGCGGCTACCCAAACCATCTTCTGAAATCACCGTGTAATAAAATCAAAAACATATAACAAAATAATCCTTTTTCATCTACATATTTGGGAATGTTAAGGTAGCATTTTAAGTAATGCATCGTTTAAATAGGAAAAACTATAAAAATTACTGCAGTACATGTCTATGTGATGCAGCCCAGGTGATTAGGAGAAAAACGAGTTAACGCTGAATGCTATGACTGGAAATAAGAAAAGTAAAATATAAATGGCGTGTGTCAAACCAGGATGTTAGAGAACACATCCCAGAATGAAGGCAAAGAATTATAAGGTGAAAAAGAAGAAAAAAACATATGCAATAGATATAGCTAAAAATTATAAGTAAGCAATAAACACAAGGATTGGTAAAAGGTCTGTTCCTGAACCCAAGATGGTGCTTTACCAAGGAGAGCCTCAGAGACCAGAGTTTTGAAGCTTTTTACTATGTACAGACGTTCTCTTCAAGTCCTGGGATGCTGGTATGCAAACTGCAGAAAATACTATCCCAAATGAGTTCTGCTTAAATGGCAAATTAAACAAAAGCCTGAATACCAAACCATGAATGGCACTTATTTAGTCCTGAGCATTCCTCAAACATAATGTGTAGGTATTGCTATCTTCTCAGAAACACTGCTTGTAGATAGGATGCATGTTCGTATCACTGTTTGATGGATGAGGAATTGGAAAGATGGAAATCCAATGGCTTAACTATGGCACCCAACGCAAGACTTGATACTTCACAAGGCTCAGCCCAAATGGGGAAATAGGCACGGTGCACCCTCTCTCAACTGAGGATTAGTCCAGACATCCCCAATCCAACCTCCCAATCTCTCCTGCCTTTGAAGGAAATCGGTGTACTTTATACAATTGTATTTTCTAACAGCCAAAATAAGAAATGTCCATGTCACGTGTTCATGATAAAGACACCCTCAAAATTAAGTTGGCATCTAGACAAGGAGAGCTTAAACTGTGATGTGTCCTACATTGGCCAACCTTCATTGAGCCCATGCTTTCCTGTTAAAAGTCCCTGTTATTACAGGTGGTAATGTTCCCAGTTTCCAGGGATCAGAACGTGCTGACTTTGTGGCCATTTCTCAGCCTACCACAGCCTCTACCTCCTTCCCACCTGATGGTGAATCCCAGTGTTGGGTAGTAACACTTATTTGCTGAAAAAGGCAATGAATAAATGAATGGATGGATGAATGCGGTGACCCCATCCATTGCTGGACCTGAGCAAAATCCACGGATGCTATCAGAAGAGAATAAAAGCAGTTTTATTGGGAAACACATACTATGGGTCCAACTATTGAATCAAGGCTTGCCAAAATAAATAAACTCATCTATTGTGGTATGTATGGAGCCCTGCTGGCTCCACATATCAGCCTCAGGCTCACACCCAGGATCCCCAGAGCTCAGCCATGCCATAAATTCAGATCTACTCACCCAGCAATCCATGCAATTTCTCCCGCTGCTTGGAGATATCTCCCAGCTTCAAGGAATCGTATGATCAGGTGTCAAGGAGCACATGGCAATTTCTCCAAAATCAAGTTGTCTGTTTTCCATGGAGGAACAGTAACATGAGGGATATTGTGTAACACAGAGGAACAATCTGAGGCCAGGGTCATACAAGATTCAAATTGCTCTTGGAGCCAATCTCCTCAGCCTGGGGACTGTGACTTCTGTCTAGTGCCAATGGGCTTGTTCACTCAGTGATGAAGAACATTGTCTTGGCTGGGAGACATCCTGCCACCCCATCCAGAGCCTGCACTTGGAGCTACTTTGTGATGATGATTAGGAGCAGCTGCACTTGTGAAAAATGACTCCAAGCTGCAATGGGCTCTTTGGTGATGTGCAAAGACTCAAAGGCTGAGATCTTCCCAGAATTTAAGATTCTGTTCTTGGGTACATAATCCCGGCTGTTCAGAAATGTTATTTTGACCAGGGCATACCTCAATCTTAGTTTAAAGTATGGTGGAATTCCAGTTCAGAAACACGTTCATCTGGGTTCCAGAGCTTAGCAGAACATCTGAGCAGTTCTAGCTGTTAGAATAAATCTTGGATAGAAGATGCTGACAACCATGGCTAGAAACCAGGGTTGGCATTCGCCCAGCTCAGGAGATCTCAAACTTGGCTGAACAAGATGATTTGGGAAGCTCTAAATGAATGGTGATGCCCAGAAAAACTAACTCCGGAACCCTGTTGGGGACGGGTCTGAACATCTGTCATTTTTGGAGATTGGCCCAGCAAGCAGCTAAAACCCACTAGCCTTATTGGAACTTTGAGGAGATCTTTGCAGACAATGACAGCACTGAGCACACCAATGGTTTTACAGAAGGCTCGCTGGGGAATGGAGGTGTCTGGCCACAGACTTGCTCCCCTTCCTTGAGGACGGAAGGAGCATGAGCAGAAGAGGCTACAGAATTTGCAAAATGAAAATGTGGGCTCCTCATTCAAACTTAATTAAGAATTTCAAGATGGCGGCAGGAGAGCATTAAACCAATATGGTACCCTTCTGAGTGTGGTGACCTCAGAGAGCACTGTTCTAGTGGCGTGCTGCCCGTATGATGAGCCCTGTGCCTGGTGGGGCAGCTCCATGTCATCTAAGATAAGTCATGGTTGTAGTGTCCTCTGATTTGAAGATGTGCCTGGGACACATCAGGGAACATTCCATCTCAGTGCTGCCAAATGAATGACGCTTCCATGACAGCAACTTCCACATGGCCAGACGAGCCATCTCCAGAAATAGCAGTGGGGGGTCCACGTCCACGCTATGTCATCACCGAGGAAACAGACATTAAATATCAGGACCTGGCTTCAGCATCTCTAAGATGCAGATTTGTTTACAGTTCAGTGGTTTAGCCCAGAAAAGTGCCATGCATCAGAGGTGCAGAAATAAAGGACAATCATTGGCTAGTTTTCCCAAGCAGTGAAACCACGAATAGTGGCATTTCTTCATGTTTTATTAAGTGGCCACTAAATAATGCTCCATTCCAAAAGGATGGCTGATTGTTTTTAAACAGGCTAACCCATACACTTATTAATGTAACTTGTGATGACAAATATTTTCAGACATACATAAAAGTAGACCGAAGAGTAGATGGCTGGTTATTAAATTCTTTACAGAGCCACTTCACCATCTCAGAACAACCAAACAGTAGTTTAAAAAGCATCTGTCCCCATCTTCATTATGAAGACCTGCTGGCCATGATATCCAAGGTGAGGATATCCTGGGGGCAAACAGGCTTTGATCATCAGTGGGATTTTGTCACCTGATGGAAAAGATGGTACGCTGAACAACAGTCAATGGTCTGAGAACTAAGGACACAAATTCTTTCAAAAGCCTTTCAAATGGCTCATTTTTCCATGTTGGAATTTGAGAACCCAACAGCCATCCTCAGAGAAAGGATCAAGCCTTCCTTGCCTGCCTGGTAAATGAGTAAGGGTGGACCTTTACACCAAGGAGAGCGCCCATCAACCGTGTGAAGCTCTCACAAGCATCAGAAGCTGTATGTTTCCTGTAGCTGCTGTAACAAGTTCCCATCAATTTGTTGGTGGCTGAACAGAACAGATATTTATTTTCTCTCATTCTGCAGACCAGGAGTGTGAGATCCAGGTGTGGCAGGGCCATGTTCCGTCCAGAGGCTCCAGGGGAGGATCTTTCCTGCCTCTTCCAGCTCCTGGTGGCTCAAGGTGTCCCTGGGCTTGTGGCCGTATCACTCCAGTCTCTGCTTCTGTCTTCATGTAGCCTTCTCTTTTGTAATCAAATTTTCTTCTGCCTGTCTCTGATAGGGACCCTGGTGATTATATTGGCTCCTCCTGAATAATCCCAGATGATCTCCTCATCTCAAAATTATTATACCTGCAAAGATGCTTCCTCCAAAGAAGGTCATAGTCACAGGTTCTGGGAGTTAGGGTGTAGACATATCCTTTTGGGGCTACTCTTCAATACATTTTAGACTCAGCAGATGCCACCCAAAGGACAACCCCATCACTTGCCCAGTTCCAGGGCAGGGCGGGCAGTTCTCCTGCTGCTGGAGGGAGAAGTGGTTGTACCTGTAGATATAGGAAGGGACAGGAGAAAATGTCCAATAAGGCAGGCCCCAATGAACTGTGTCCGCACACACTCTAGGACAGCATGTGACACTGAATATGATTATTATTATTATACTACTATCATGCATGGATGTATACTCCCAGCCCTGAAGATGTTACAGGGAAAAAAATATGAAGGTGCTTCCAGATGATGATCTCATGGGGTAGAACTGAGGAGAGAAGCCACATATAGACATTGCAGGTGACTGGGCAACCACACACGTGTCCTTGTCCCCTGTGCTACAGACTCCCATGTGACAACTGTCCAGGCTCCATCCTTGTGTCCCATCCTACAGAATTCCCTATTCAGCTGGCTAACGGTTTGCATGCTTCTGCTCTAACAGGGGCTCGTATTACCTGTTGACTGGCCACTCTTAAATAAGGTGCTCCAGATGGTGGGGTAGGCCCCATGGGAGTGCTCATTGAGACCGAATCAAGGCTCACATCTCTCAGTCTACAACCCATGAATCAGAACCGGGTCTCCAGAAGAATAAGTAACTGAAAGAACAAAGCAAAAAAGGAGACCCCACAAATCCACCCGTTCCACAATGAGATGTAGCATCCCTGCAAAGTGCTCATCCTACCTAGAATTTTGTACTTAATCCTACCTGGACCCTCTGGGCTAAGCAAGGAAAACAGCACATTTAAGGCAGAAAGATTTAATTATTCCTAGCACCTGTCACAATTTGGCACTTTGGGAATCACAAGATTTATGGCAGGGGACCACCTGTGGGTGGTTACGCACAACATTTCTTTTGCTCCTTGAGTTCCTGCAAAGGTCAGGGCTGTCCACCGGAGACTGGAGGGCAGATCCCTGAGGGCAGGCATGTGTGAGAATTGTACAAACCACAGTCTTCACAGACCCCAAGCAGTCAGTGGATGCAAAGACGTCTTGGGAGAGCAGCTACCCTGAGACTGGGCCATGGGTCACGTCAAGGATACCAGTCATCTGACAGCTTTTGGTCCACAGCTGTCGCTGAAGCTTTTGGTCATAGGTGAGCTTGAGGGATTTGGTCTCTTTCTCGTTGTACAGGTAGCGGCCGCCGATCCCTTCTAGCTCTGGGGTGACCGCTGCATAGATGGAAGTCCAGGCCCCTTCATCAGGAGTCTGTGGGAAGAAGGAAGAAAGGCTGGAATGAGCCAACTTTCTCAGCAGGGCACATACAATTCCTAAAACACACAGGAATGTTGCTGGGTGAGGCAGAGCATGCTCATTTCACTTGCTGCCCCTATAAATGCACAGAGAGCAGAGATGGAAACCTGTCAGAGCCAGAGCTCCCCTGCTGCTGGGTTTTCTTTCCCAACAGTCACTGACAATAACACACACCCAAGTGGCTTGCATTTCAATGGTGTGTTAATACATTTTGATAGGCAGATGCTTGTTAAAATCCCTGAGGTATTTAATTCATTGACTCTCTTTATCCAACCAAAATGCTTTTTAATTGACTTGCAGAAGATGAGAGAGAGAGTGTTTCATAAAAAATGTTTAGCAATTAGATGAAACATGGAGACATCAAAAAGCTTCTGGGTTCCAATTCAACAAGGCCAGTTATGGTGGAGAACAGAGCCATTCATGAGCTTTCAGCGTATGCTTGGTGGAAACATACACTTCAAAGAGGAGCTTACGGGGCCGGCCGGGTGGCGCACTGGATAGTGCGCCGCTTGGGAAGCGCGGCAGCGCTCCCGCCCGAGGGTTCGGATCCCACATACAGACCGGCTACCGCTCACTGGCTGAGCAAGGCGCGGGAGCAACGCCGAGGTTTGTGATCCCGTTGCCGGTCCCCGGTCCGGTACGGGGGCAACACTGAGGGTTGCGATCCGTTGCCCGACACGGAAAAAAAGACAAAAGACAAAAAAAAAAAAAAAAAAAAGAAAGAGGAGCTTAAAAATAAGAAAAAAAGATGCTCAGAGACCACGGATTTCATTCTTGCACAAAGCAAGGACGTTGGAAGATGACCCACCTGCCTTTCTGTGTTGGGAGTTGGCCTTTGAGGGTGGCCAGCAGAGTAGAAAAAATATTACTCAGAGGACTTGAAAGTTGTGGGAACTGAAGGGCCTGCAGGGCTGGGACTTGGTAATTCTTAGCTTCCTACCTTCACGATCAAGACTTTCCGGGAGCTTATCTCTTGTAATAAACTTTTGGGAATCTGCTCAACATATCCAACCCACAACCTTCTTAAATGCCCCTAAAAGTCTATAATTGTAGGCCTACAAGGAAAATATCCAGGGCAACAGGATTCATTTAATCTATGGAACCATCCCATACGCATAAAAGTTGCAATTTTAATATGTTATCAAAAAGAAGACCACCTCCCTTCATCCAGTCTTTCACACATGCTCTGTATCTACTTTCCCAAAGCTTTTAATGCGACCATAATGGGATATCACTAAGGATAGTTCAGATAACACTTTTTCCTTTGATGTGATTGGATCTCAGACTCAACACAGCAATATCATGCCATGCTGCAGTGAAGCAATTGATTTAATTAGGGAAGTTGAAGAATCTGGGGATCTCCTAGGAGGAGTTTGAGGTTCTGCAAAAGAGTCCAGGGAGAAAACAGGTATTACTAGAAATCCCTTGTTCCTGTGTGTCACAGTGGAGGTGGGAGTGGGTAGAGAAATGAGAGGTGACCATAGTGGAGGAGGTCATTTATCCAGTGTGGCGGTTTGAATTATGTCCCTCTCAAGACTCATTGAAGCTTGAATTATGTCCCCCAAGTTTCATGTATTAGAAACTTAGCCCCCACTGTGAGTGTTAAGAGGGTGGGAAATCCTATTAAGGTAATTGAAACGTGGAGCCTTGAAGAGGTGATTAGATCGTAGGACCATGCAGTAGTGAATGGGTTAAAAATGGTGGTCTAGGGCGTGGTTCTGGGGGCTTTAAGAGGAGGGGAGGTCCTGTCTTTCTTTCTGTTCTCTCTGCTTCCATCATTTTGCAATGAGACCCCTGGGTCACTGTTGCCACCAGCAGATGGACTTTGGACTTCCCAGCCTCAGAAACTGTGAGCAGTAAATGTTGTTTTTCTTTGTAAATCAACCAGTTTCAGGTACTTTGTTATAAGCAATGGAAATGCTATAGGAGACACCTCCTACATTTCACATATGCTGCGAGTCTATTTTGCTGAAGTTAACGTTGAATTGGCCCATCTTCCCGGGACAGTTGCTAATGTCTAGCGTTCTGTTTCCACCCCAGCTGGTGTACTACAATTCAATTCTGACGTTAACTATGCAGAGTTAGCGTCACACCCTCCATGTTTAAGCCTCAGTCCTTCTTAAGTGCCTCCATTTAAGATGACAGCCACACGTCACTGGGGTCCCCAAGGCCACCCACACTTCATAGGTTGAAATCCTCAACCCCCAAGTGATGGTGTTAGGAGGTGGGGCCTTTGGGAGGTGATGAGGTCATGAGGGTGGACCCTCATGATTGGGATTAGTGTCCTTATAAAAGATACCCCAGAGAGCCCCCTCATTCCTTCCACCATGTGAGGACACAGTGAGAAGTTGCCATCTATGAACCAGGAAGCAGGTCCTCACCAGATACTGACTCTGCCACACCTTGATCTTGCACTTCCAGCCTCCAGAGCTGCGAGCAATAAATTTGCATTGTTTTTGACACCCAGTCTGTGGTATTTTGTTATAGCAGACCAAATGGACTAAGGCATTGTGTGGCTCAAGTTTTTATTGGGGCTTCACTGCACAGGCATAAGTCCACCTGATAGAACTCAACCTCCAGACCCTTCCTTTCTCCCCCAAGGTCAGGCTGTCCCAAAGTTCCAACCCTCTAATCACGTGGTTGGTCTTCTGTCAATCAGCCCCCATCCCAAAGCTATCTAGGGAACACCAAGAGTCACCTCATTAGAACACCATAGTCATCCCTGTCACTCAGAAAATTAGAAAGGTTTCAGAAGCTCCTCCCTGCCGGAGAAACAGAGGCAAAGATCAGATACACCGTCTTTGTTACACCACATCTGGTTTTCTGGGAGTGGTAATGGATTTCCCCAGATGAACATTCCTGTCTCTTGCACTGCTGGGAGGCCAGGCACAAGCTCTCCTAGAAATAAAAGGGTGGGCTGTTGGGGGTGGCCTCTGATGTCTGGTCCTGTCAGGGATCCTTTGTTGTTGGTCTTGACTAGGCAGCCAGCATGATCTGGAAAGTCACGGTGCAGGATCCAGCTTGCCGAGCAGCCCTCCCTCTAGGTGCTGAGTGAGAGAAGCAGACCCAGGAGGAGCTGAGATGGGGAGAGAGCTGCCCGAGTCCCGAGATTCCTTCTCACTGACCTGCCTCAGCTCATCTGCAGCCCACAGCCAAGAGACGGACCAGCTAGAGAACCTCATGTGTCTGGGAATTGCCTAGGGGGACCTTGAGGGTTTGCAACAGCAAAGGTCTGCAGAAAAACCCTTGGAGACTGGATTTGGAAACACCTTAGTGGCGGATGCAGGCGCCCACGGCACAGGTTTTGCAGGGGAGCCCTGTGTGCCTTTTTGCTCTGGGTATCTAAGGAGCAGGAGCAAAAGTGGCAGGAGTGGAAAGAGGAGGAAAGGGAAAAGGGAAGGCGAACAGAGGAGGAGGCGGTGGAGAGGACCGGAGGGCCAACAGAAGACAGATCCACCCGTCCTGTCTGAGGGTCTTGCTCTGGGGCAGCACTCCATACAGGAAGAGGTGTCATGCACCTGTCCCTCGTCCCCCATGCTTCTCTCTCTCCTAGCTGTGTCCTGCCCCACACCTGGGCAGGGTCTGGCTCCAAGATCCAGCACTGTGCCTCCTTCCATGCAGGCAGAGACATTTGAGCTCCTGGAGATTCCACGAGTGGCAGGCAGGGCGTGACGAAGGCTTGGGAGGAAGCCACCTGCTGCAGTCCCAGGTTTTTTTGAGAACTCTGCATGGGTCCTGAGTACCACAGCTCTAAGAACATCATGAAGCTACTTTCCTCTCCGCTGCTCTGAACAAAGTGCCAGGTGAGGCTGGATGGGGGCCACCCTGAATCCCCAGTCGAGACGAGGCTACGGATGCACAGGAAGCTGCTTTGACGTTTCAGTGGTGTCTGAGGCGTTCACCTGTTTCATTTTATATGTAGTGCTGAGCCTCCTTTGCAAACAAATCCTTAAGTGAGTTCCTGGAATGAGTTTGTTTTGGAATCATCCATGCTGAGAATTCATGGGCTCATGCCCCAAATCTCTGCCTTTGTCTTGTCTGCACAGTGTGTCTCCTCCATTTGGGGAGACTCCTCTGTTCTCCAGGTGGGGGCTATGGCCCCTCCCGGGCTCTCTTTAGGTGGATATGCTAGCCCCTCTCCTTAGAAGCTTCCTCCTTGTGGACCCCCCAATGAGCAGTACATCTGGGGCTTCTATTTCCCCCACATTTTGATAAGTCTTTTTGTGATATGCATATCTAATTGGAACACAGGTATGGCCACTTTAGAAGGCAAGGTACTGCCTATGGTATGCTGGAAATGAGCTTGGGATGTCCAAAAGACACAGCACTGTGCCCAAAATGCAGCTTGCCCAGACACAGATAGGATGTGATGAAATTCTATTTGATGATGGTTTTTCTGCAGGGAATTCACACACACACATACACACACACATCTAGGAGTACTTTTAAAAGTTTGTGGAAAAACAGAATTGAAAAATAATATGAATTCCATGAACTTTTTGAAGTACTCTTATACATACTCACATGCACATGGATGGCCACTCACAGGCTCACATGCACACATGCTTACATGCACATGCATGCTCACATGGCCACATGTGCACACACATTTGCTTGCACAAACATACGCACATGATTAAGTAGATTCGTATGAACACACATGCAAACATGCACATACCTGCATGCACCCACATACACAGCATGCTCACATGCACACAGATAATCACATGCACACATATACACTCACACACACATATGCTCACATGCACATACATACTCACACACACACATTCACATGCACACATACATGCACACACGTACACAATCACACGCACACATATGCACTCATACACATTCTCACATGCACACACATGTACACATAATCCCATATTCACATGCACACACACATGTACACATATACATGAACACATACATATACACACATATGCTCACAC